GAAATAGACAGAAACTGTCACAGAACTGTCCTTCTTCTTCTCATCCTTCTCCTTCTTCTCATCCTTCTTTCTCATCCTTCTTCTCATCCTTCTTCTTCTCATCCTTCCTTCTCCTTCTCCTTCTTCTCATCCTCATCCTTCTCCTTCTTCTCATCCTTCTTCTCATCCTTCTCCTTCTTCCTCATCCTCTCCTTCTCTCATCCTTCTTCTCATTCTTCTCATCCTTCTCCTTCTTCATCCTTCTCCTTCTCCTTCTCCTCTCATCCTTCTCCTTCTCCTCTTCTCATCCTTCTCCTTCTCCTTCTTCTCCTCCTTCTCCTTCTTCTCATCTTCTCCTTCTCCTTCTTCTTCTCATCCTTCTCCTTCTCCCTTCTCCTCTTTTCATCCTTCTCCTTCTTCTCATCCTTCTCCTCTCATCTTCTTCTCCTCTCCTTCTTCTCATCCTTCTCCTCTTCTCCTTCTCCTTCTCCTTCTCCTTCTTCTCATCCTTCTCCTCTTCTCATCCTTCTCCTTCTCCTCATCTTCTTCATCCTTCTCCTTCTTCCTCTTCTCCTTCTCCTTCTCCTTCTCTTCTCCTTCTCCTTCTCCTTCTTCTTCCTTCTCCTTCTTCTCATCCTTCTCCTTCTTCTTCTCATCCTTCTCTTCTTCTTCTCTTCTCATCCTTCTTCTCATCCTTCTCCTTCTTCTCATCCTTCTCCTTCTCCTTCTTCTCATCCTCCTTCTCCTCTCATCCTTCTCTTCTCTTCTTCTCATCCTTCTCCTTCTTCTCATCCTTCTCCTTCTCTTCTCTCTCTCTTCTTCTCTCCTTCTCCTTCTCCTCTTCTCATCCTTCTCCTTCTCCTTCTTCTCATCTTCTCCTTCTCCTTCTTCTCTCTTCTTCTCCTTCTTCTCATCATTCTTCTCCTTCTTCTCATCCTTCTCTCTCCTTCTCCTTCTCTCATCTCTTCTCCTTCTTCTCATCCTTCTCCTTCTCCTTCTTCTCCTTCTCTCATCCTTCTCCTTCTCTCATCTTCTCATCCTTCTCCTTTTCCTTCTTCTCATCCTTCTCCTTCTTCTCATCCTTCTCTCTTCTTCTCTCCTTCTCCTTCTTCTTCTCATCCTTCTCCTTCTTCTCATCCTTCTCCTTCTTCTCATCCTCTCCTTCTCCTCTCATCCTTCTCCTTCTTCTCATCCTTCTCCTTCTCCTTCTCCTTCTTCTCATCCTTCTCATTCTCCTTCTTCTCATCCTTCTCTTCTTCTCCATCTTCTCCCTTCCTTCTTCCTTCTCCTTCTTCTCATCCTCTCTTCCTCCTTCTCCTTCTTCTCATCCTTCTCCTTCTGCTTCTCCTTCTCCTTCTTCTCATCCTTCTCCTTCTCCTTCTTCTCATCCTTCTCCTTCTTCTCATCCTTCTCTCCTTCTTCTCATCCTTCTCCTTCTCCTTCTTCTCATCCTTCTTCTTTCTCTCCTTCTTCTCCTCATCCTTCTCCTTCTCCTTCTTCTCATCCTTCTCCTTCTCCTTCTTCTCATCCTTCTCCTTCTCATCCTTCTCTTTCTTCTCATCCTTCTCCTTCTTCTCATCCTTCTCCTTCTCCTTCTTCTCATCCTTCTTCTCCTCATCCTTTCCTTCTCCTTCTTCTCATCCTTCCTCTCTCATCCTTCTCCTTCTCATCCTTCTTCTCCTTCTCCTTCTTCTCATCCTTCTCCTTCTCCTTCTTCTCATTCTCTTCTCCTTCTCTCCTTCTCCCTTCTCCTTCTTCTTCATCCTTCTCCTTCTTCTCATCCTTCTCCTTCTTCTCATCCTTCTCCTTCTCTTTCCTTCCTCATCTCCAAGGGCATTTAAATTAAAGGTACAGTGTTCTGCACTAATTTAAAGGCTCTCTGAAGCCTAGAAACCCTTTTTATACATCTTCGTAGCGAAGAAATTCGCATCGAATCGAATTTCACACTGGAATTCGCCGAATCAGCCGAATCGAATTTTTGAGAAATTCGCTCATCTCTAGTCTTGACATATGCAGACCAGAAACATCCCACAAGAGCTGCAGTTTTGGAGATGCTCTGACCCAGTTGTCTAACCAATACAATTGGGCTCTCAAATCCTTAGGCTTACTTATTTGTTCTTCTTTCAACACATCATCTTCAGGGACAACATGTTCACTTGCTGCCTAATATACCCTATCCACATTCAGGTGCGATAGTCACAAGATAATCAATGTTATTCACTTTACCCATCAGTAATCATAGTAGTATGGCTGATCGGTGTATGTTTATACACAGCTGCTTGGAATGTTATGTGTGACTATGCTACATGAATGGATTAACCACGTAGATCAATACTGCTGCACCTACTTTGTGGTGTATAAAGCGCCTCAGATACAGCGTATTTGTCTTCAAGCTCAGCTGTGTCTTCCCTACCAGTGTGAAAACTGGTTAACTGGAAAAGACAGAACAATAAAACATTAATTAGAATAACATATCTTTAGAGTGCATTCAAACCCACAAGCAAAAAAATGCATATATTGCAGTGTAACAGTCCTTGGTTGATTTAAATGAAGGATGTTTATTGGCTCTAGTTGAGCTCGGTAGTTACTTTCCCTGAAGAAGCCCGATTAGGTGAAACATGTTGGGACTATGAAATTAATGTATCACTGATAAAATTGCTGTCAACCACATGTTATGTAGTGTTGAAGCTTTTTATGATATTATGACCTTTCAAACGTGTAACTCAATATAAGTTTTACTGAAACTTCTATGTGTTTATATATTGGGTAAGCATCTTCAAAATCCTGAATTTTCTATAAATATATATGTATACAATATTGGAATGCAGGTGCAGATTTGAATATATATTGACAGCCCACTCTACTAATAATTTACATGTTTTTATGGTTAGTTCTCAATAAGGGAAATCTTTATCATTGTGGAGTGTAATGCTATCAGAGGACCTGAATGAGGAGGAACAACTACAAGTTTGTAAGTTGTTTGCTTCTATTGTACCCATGATGACTTGTAAACTGAAAATGTGAACCACAATGATGCCACTCGTCCCTTCAGAAGCTAATGATTTAGTTGGGGATCTGTTTCTTTTCTATGGGACTTACCTGCTATTTGCTGTTGGTGGTTGTTAACAGATAACCAAATGTGTTTCCTTCTGTACATGACAATCAAGATGGCGACAACAAAGAATAGGAGCAAGACCACTAAAGTCACAGGGAGTATTGACACTAGATTGCTTGTCTCTATAGAGAAAACAAGCAATTATTATTTGTATTTTAAAACAAGGACATGAAATAGTACTGACAAAGCAGAATGAAGGCAGTGTAAAGAATGTTACTTAAAACTATACTTATTTTTCAGTTTATAATGGATGGCGGTAGGTTAAAACCTCTGATGTTTCATTATTTCATCTCTTGGTGGCTATCCTACTAGAATAGGTGGTGTTTTTGGGTTGGTCCTATAGAGCCCACCTCTCACATCCATTTCCAAGGGGTATCATTGTTCTGTTGTCATTTTCAATTATTGGGGAGTGAAGAAGAAAAATTAAAGAATAATAAAAAGTGGAGAATGAGATCAGTGATCAGAAACTCAGAGGGCCAGAATTTGCCACAGGAGTCCCTGACAGATATAAGATGCCCATGGTTGATTTGAACTTCAGGCAATAACCCAAATCTCTGCAAAACTGCATCCAAATAATGATGACGTTGGGGGAGACAGAGATCGGGTGAATGTAGTATAGCCATATAAGCACTGCCAAATGTTTGCGTGGGGGGTTATTGCACTTCTAGGGGATTCAAGGGGTTAAATATGTGCCTAACAAGTGTGTGTGTGTACTGTGTGCTGCTTTTATTGCGATCTAGTCATTTTCATTCCCTGCTTATCAGGGAATGAAAACAACTAGATCCCCTGTCACTGAACACAGCTCTGTGCTGTTTACACTCACAGGGCTGTGTTCCGTGAGACTCGGAGGTCAATCACTGGCCAGGACCCCATGATTGGCAAGAACTGTGATGAAACACAGCACAGCCGGGTGGGTGCCACCCACCCAGAAATGCAGAATCACTTGTATATACACGTGATTCTGCACAGAGCTGTCGCCCTGTAGCGACCAGCCCCTGTGAAGCTACATGGGCCAGTCAGCAAGTGGTTAACCCCATCCTGCCTAGTGTCATTAGTACAGTGATCAATGTAATAATGGTACTGGTGATGTCAGTTGCAGTTCCCTCAAAGTGTCAAATTGACTGCCGCACTATCGCAGTCCCGTTATAAGTTGCTGATTGCCACCAATACTAGTAAAATATAAATACAAATTCCAGTGTATATCCCATACTTTTGTAAAAGCTATTACTTTCACACAAACCAATCAATATACACTTGTTGGGATTTATTTTTTACCAAAGACGTAGCAGAAAACATTTTGGCCTAAATTTATTAAAAGATTTGATTTCTTTTATGGGATATGTTTTTATAGCAGAATGTAAAAATTTTTTTTTTAAAAATTGTTGGCTTTTTTTTAATATCATAAAAAAATAAAAAACCCAGAGGTGATTGTGTTGGGAAAAAAATATATTTAATTTCGGTATAGCAATAAATGGCCTGGTCATGACGGGGGTAAATCTTATGGCGGGCAAGTGGTTAAAGCTGAACTCCAGTTAAACAGCTAAATTCACCAACAGCTCAAACATAGTTGAAATGCATATATGAAAACTTTTACTCCTAAGGGACTTTCCTCTCACTTCGTGTTTTCCAAGCAGTGGAGATACATTTGACAAGAACTGCTACAAACCTGTATTTGAAGAAAGTCTCTATTTTATTTCATTCCGGTATTTTAAATTAGCGACATTTGAATATATTTTTGGATATGGGTGGCATTTTATAGTTGCTCAGAGTTAAAGTTTGAAACTAAAACAAAATACATCAAAATACACTATATTGCTAAAAGTATTGGGACACTCCTCCAAATCATTGGATTCAGGTGTTCCAATCACCTCCATGGCCACAGGTGTATACAATCAAGCACCTAGGCATGCAGATTGCTTCTACAAACATTTGTGAAAGAATGGGTCACTCTCGGGAGCTCAGTGAATTCAAGCGTGGGGCCACCTGTGCAATAAGTCCATCCGTGACATTTCCTTGCTGCTAAATATTCCACAGTCAATTATTAGTGGTATTATAACAAAGTGGAAGCAACTGGGACCAGCTGCAACTCAGCCACGAAGTGGAAGGCCATGTAAAATGACAGAGCGGGGTCAGAGCATGCTAAAGAGCACAGTGCGCAAAAGCCGCCAACGGTCTGCAGAGTCCATAGCTAAAGACCTCTAAATTTCATGTGGACCTCAGATTAGCACAACAACAGCGCATAGAGAGCTTCATGGAATGGGTTTCCATGGCCGAGCAGCTGCATCCAAGCCTTACATTACCAAGTGCAATGCAAAGCATCGGATGCAATGGTGTACAGCACACCGCCACTGGACTCTAGAAAAGTGGAGACGTGTTCTCTGGAGTGACCAATCACACTTCTCTGGCAATCTGATGGACATGTCTGAGTTTGACAGTTGCAAGGAGAACAGTATTTGCCTGACTGCATTGTGCCAAGTGTAAAGTTTAGTGGAGGGGGGGAATTAAGGTGTAGAGTTGTTTTTCAGGGGTTGGACTTGGCCCCTTAGTTCCATTGAAGGGAACTCTTAAGGCGTCAACATACCAAGATATTTTGGACAATTTCATGCTCCCAACTTTGTGGGAACAGTTTGGGGATGGCCCCTTCCTGTTCCAACTTGACTGCGCACCAGTGCACAAAGCGAGGTCCATAAAGACATGGATGAGTGAGTTTGGGGTGGAGGAACTTGACTGGCCTGCACAGAGTCCTGGCCTCAATCCGATAGAACACCTTTGGGATGAATTAGAGTGGAGACTGCGAGCCAGGCCTTCTCGTCCGACATCAGTGCCTGACCTCACAAATGCGCTTCTGGAAGAATGGTCAAACCTTCCCATAGACACCCTCCTAAACCTTGTGGACAGCCTTCCCAGAAGAGTTGAAGCTGTTATAGCTGCAAAGGGTGGGCCAACTCAATATTGAACCCTACGGAATAAGACCAGGATGCCATTAAAGTTCGCTGGCGTTTAAAGGCAGGCAGTGATGGTTTTACCAGTTTCCCCTATTTATAAGGTTGATCAGTTAAATCCGCTTATTTCCTTTATACAGTCAAAATAAAAGGAGGATAATCTATTTTCTTAATATATTTCATCAGTTCAAAAAGACTTTGAAACCTTTTTTTAGCAATAATTTAGGTGTCCACGCCAGAGGTGCAAAGATACCATAAACCCTCCCTTATGTTAACCCTTCTTGTAACCCTAACACTAACCCTTGTGTAAGCTTAGCACTAACTATTCCTGTAACTCTAACCCTCCTGTAAACTTAAAGTGAGTCCTTCCTGTAATGCTAATTCTTACCCTAACTCTCGCTATAACCCTGCTTGAATCCTTAACAATCCTTCTTGTAATGCTAAACCTCCTTGTACCCTAGAACCAACCTTCCCTGTAACTCTAGCACTAACCCTCTTTTAAGGCCTAACACTAATCCTCACTGTAACCCCAAAACTAAATCTACCTGTAATCCTATAACTAACCTTCCCCATAACCCTAATACTAACCCTCCCAGTAAGCTATTTAACTAAGCCCTAATTGTAAATCATAATTTTTTGCAAATAACAAATCTATACTGAACGAGGGTGCGTTTCTCTATGCACCATCTGGCCAATTGATGAATCTAAAATATAACCTTTATTCAAATATATAAAAAATGTATGTATGCTCAGCTGTAATTAATGCCTATTGGAGTGGAATGTACTGCGTACAACAATATAACTGAATACTGTATCATTGCAATTGTTTACCTTACATCCAAATGGTTGCTAACACCAGACCAAAATCAAATACCATACCGTTTTAGATGAAGTGACGGCACACAAAGAGGCACTGTAGTTTCATCATAAGCCTATCAGCTTGAATATATAATCTCTGTTAAGGAAATGGAGTTACCCCATGGACAATCTAATTGATTGTAGTATATTCTATCTTGCTACAGATATGTAGTAAGGGTACACTCATCCATGGGCTTAAATGTCAGCCTCTCATGGAAAAGCCCCAAACATCACCATGTCCACCAAAAATACCTCACTGTCTTGAGGAATGCAAATGATGCACTGTAAAACACAGTACAGACCTCTCCAAAAAAGACAACAGTTAGGGGCCTAAGAATTATGATCAAATCACACTCCCATACAGATAATGTAGACTTTATGCAGGGTTAGGATAACCTTCAGACAGAGAATACATTAAGGATGTAAGCAACATCCTTAGGTTTGAAGAGCACACTGACTTCAAGAAATTAGAGGAAAGGTTACAAAAACGAGTAGCGGTACAAAAAGACGAAAACTAAAAAACATAGGAAATTTGTAAGAGACTTCGCAAATGATAGAGTCTACTCATGGACACGCAAAAATATAACCTCCTCTAAGACATCTATGAGACCAGAGTCAGACACATCTAGGGACTTGGGTAGCTCAGAGACTGATGATGATACTGAAAGATGTTGGGAATGCAACAGCATGTTCTATAATGTACTATATAGTATTGTGTGTTAATATCACTTGACCAGTAGATGGCACTATACACTAAAAGGTTACTAGTTGTGTATATCTGAAAATTTGTTTGTTCCTCCCTCTCGCTATCATCTCTTCAGGAAGTAATGTGTCTGTAACATGTCTGCTGTGAAATGTGCTCTGTATGTTTGTAACTTAAGCCACACAAGTAAAGCCTGAATTCTGCTATCACTACCAGTGTCTTCTATAACACATAACCAACAGGTTATGGGCCCAGCTCCAGACACTGGAAAAAGGAAAACTACAAGCAAGTAAGTGCTGCATTTACAATCCTACCAATTCACTGAAAGATGGCAAGTGCTTCAGATATGAAGTTTACAATAGCAAAGCTCAACAACACCAACTACCAGCTATGGAAGTTTAAGCTTGAAATGCTGTTATCCAGAGATGACTTGTGGCAGGTACTAGATACACACAGACCCAATGAGAACCCGGAAGAATGGGACAGAAAAAACAGGCAAGCAAAAGCAGTCATAAGCCTGTTAGTGGAGGATGATCAACTCATTCATATACAGAAAGAAAGCACAGCTAAAGGTATGTGCACTGCGTTACAGAAACTGCATGAACGTGCAAACCTAAACAGCAAACTATATCTGCTACGCAAACTGTATAAGATGAGGCTGGAAAAAGGGCAGAAAATGGGTGAACATGTAAATGCTATGCTAGAAATTGTGGACCAGCTGGGTGCAATAGGTGAAGAATTAAAAAGCAATCATGTTCTGTCAATACTTCTGTGCAGCCTTCCAGAATCATACAGTGCCCTTATAAATGCTCTAGAAACTAGACCGGAAACTGAACTGACGCTAGAATATGTTAAGGGAAAATTAATTGATGAATACAGCAGAAGAAAGGAAAATTTGCATAGTGAAGAGAACGAGAGACCAGAGGCAGCTCTAAAGGTGCATGAAGGCATAAGACAAAGCAAAGAAAAACCAGGGTATGTTTTCGCTGCAAAAAGGTCGGTCACCTGAAAAAGAACTGTTCAATCTGGAAAGCTGAGCAGCGAAAGCGGGAGCTACCCACAAGAGAAAGAGCTAAAGCGGTCATGAAAGAAAATGAAAGTACTGAGTGGTACTTTTAAAGTGAAAGAAAATGAAAGTACTGAGTGGTACTTTTAAAGTGACTCAGAATAGTACCTCACATGAATGGTACATTGATTCAGGGGCAACAAGTCACATGACAAGCGACGAGACATTCTTCACAGAAATTGATTTTAGTGTAAAAGATAAAGTCTTCCTAGCAAATGGGAAAAGTATTACAGCAGAAGGTAAAGGTCAGGGATTTCTGAACTGCAAAACGCCATCAGGGGGCAAGCAGAGCATCCTTGTAAAGAATGTTCTATATGTTCCAAGCCTAGAAGGAAGCCTCCTATCAGTTAAAACCCTTGCAAGCAATGGACTCACTGTCCAGTTCAGAGGTAATGAATGCACAATTCAAAATGGAAAGCAAATTCTAGCAAGAGGAAGATTAAATGAACATCTGTACAAACTCATCACTGAGAGTGAGAAGGCTAATGCGGCAACTCATAACCCATGACAAGTGCATCCACCTGTGGCATAGAAGACTGGGGTATCGAAACCCAGAAGCTATAAAGGACTTTGCAAAGAGAGGTCTATCAGAAGACATGAAAATATTGCCTTGCCACACACTCAGCAAGTGCACGTGTTGCATCAAAGCAAAGGCCACCCGAACCTCTCTTCCACAGACCAGTCAGAGTAAAACCATTAAACCCATGGAACTGATACACAGTGATGTGTGCGGACCAATGAAAATCATCACACCTGGCGGGAACAGATATTTACTGACTTTCATCGACGATTATTCCAGGTACACAATAATGTATCTAATGAAGCACAAAAGTGAGACATTAGAAAAACTTCAAGATTTTGTAGCTATGACAAGCAACAAGTTTCAAAGGAAACCTGGAATAATACGCACTGACAATGGAGGGGAATATATGAATAAAGAGATGGAATCATACCTAAAGAAACAAGGTATTATACACCAAACAACCGTACCATACACTCCTGAGCAAAACGGTGTAGCGGAAAGAAAGAATCGCACTCTTGTAGAAATGACCAGATGTATGATTACGGACGCTGCCTTACCTAACAAATACTGGGGAGAAGCAATAATGACTGCAACATACCTACAAAACAGGCTCCCATCAAAAGCTATTGAGAGTACACCATATGAAATGTGGAATGGATCAAAACCTAACGTAGGACACATCAGAGTATTTGGCTGTAAAGCATATGCCCACATTCCAAGTCAGAAACGCTCCAAGTTGGAGAACAAAGCCATAGAAGGCATTCTGGTTGGCTACAGTGAGCAGAGTAAGGGATATAGAATCCTTTGTCCAAAGAACAACAAGGTCACAGTAAGCCGCAGTGTTTATTTTGATGAAAGTGAAGCACCAGATAATACAATTCTTGAAAAATGTGGAGAGGATTTACATACTGAATCGGCAAGAGACACTGATTTATGCGAAGCAGTACAAGAGCCAGAACAAGAAGTGGAACTTACAATCAACGATCCAATAGAATCCACTGAACAACAAGAAATCAGAAGATCCTCTCGAATGACAAAAGGGATACCACCCCGCAGGTTATCATACGCTGCTAAAACACATCAAACACAGGAGCCAACATCCTGGGAAGACATAGAAACTTTGCCGAGAAGGGAAGCCGATCAGTGGAGAAAAGCAGCTGAAGAAGAAATAAAATCACTTCAAGAAAATAAAATTTGGTCACTAACAGAACTCCCTCCCGGTCGCAAAACCATCGGAAGCAAATGGACTTTTAAAGTGAAATATGAT